GAGGCTATTTAGTTTGTGGTGCGTGCATGCATCTGTGTTTGTGTGTGTTTGTGGGAGAAAAACACAACCTTTTACATCTTTGGTCGCAATCGGATTGCTGTGTATTTAACATTGTGGTTCTTTCAAACTCACTGTTTTGTAGTGTGTTCTTTTTTTTAAAAGATGAATTTGATATACCTGCTTCATAGCAGTTTGGTGCAGCAGCTTGTGTAGGTGGCAGCAATAGAAGAGGCAGGAGAAGGGCGATATGTGAAAACAGAACTGAGCTTCAGGCTCTCATCCGCAGCCAAACAAGACTCGTAACTCTCCCTCTCCCATAGGTCCCTTTACATTTTTATATTAACGTTTCTCGGTTACAGATACCTAAGAAAGCCCTCAGGCAAGAGCTGCCTCTTCCTTTCAAAGCCGCGTTCATCTCCGAAACCCCGCGCTTGATGGAACTCGGGTCGCTCCAGCCTCTCTCCAAGCACCACTTTTGATATTTATATTTCCACAAGCGTGAGGCACTCGAACTTCCAGGAATGAGCAGTGCCAGGTGTTATACAATCACAGATATATAGCTGTGAGCTTCACCTGCTCATCGAACTTTGATTTATTACCTAAGAAGGGTTATTTTAACTTAAATAGAACAAGACATGGAGTCAAATGCGGCCTTCCTTCCTCATTGTCACCTGCACAATCACATCCCCACCTGTCTGTTACATGCTGATTCTAATGTGTTTTCTGTGTTTGTGTAACATTCATGCGATTGTGTTCACGTCTTTGAATCACAAATTCACATTAAATGCATGCTGAGTGTTCTCTCTGAGGAGCTTTACACACCTCACTGTCACTACAGGGCAGTGGCGCAAGAAGCACTCACATCCTTTATTTAGTAAAAGTAGTAATACTACAATATGAAAGTACTCCAATACAAGTAAGACATAAGTGTCAACAGCTATAAAATATTATTAAGTATTAAGATTATTAATTTGAGTTGATTCATTTGGATAGTACTTTAGTACATCACTTGAGTAAATGTACGGAGGTACATTCCTCCACTGCTTTGGGGAGATGCAACTTCTCTGATAAAAATATTTTTTTCGTCAATGCAGGACCAGTACTTGCACTGAGATATTTTTAACAGTACTTTCACCGAAGCAAAGGACCTGCCGATAAAGTCTTCAACCTTCTGTTCTTCTTTCACCAACAGAGAGTCAGTCTCCTGAAGAACCTGCTGCTGCCCAAACCTGCCCTCTGCTTGAGGACATCGTCAACACCTTCAGCATCCAAGGCGACGCTACAGCAGGAACTTCCATCCGCTACACCTGCTTTTCTGGGTGAGAGATGGGGGACGATGGGAGGTTAAGCGAGTGCGTGGGCAGAGGCTATGAAAACCTAAAGTGATTGGAAGGTACAAATGGAGGAAGTGAGAAGACGGGGATGGAGTGTGAAGATGAGGCATGAAGCGGAGGGATGGCTTGAATACAGGAGAGCTGTGATAGATGAAGTATTCAGATACTTTTCTAAAGTAAAAGTACCAACACAACATTAAAAAATACTTTCATTTTAAATCCTACTGAAGTAAAAGTGCATTACTAGTATGAGCTAAATGTACCTAAAGTAATAACAAATAAATAAAAGTAGAAAAACGACACATAGCATTTGATCTGACATTGTCAGTTAATACTGAGGTATTAATGCATATGCAGAATTTTACTGTTGTAGCCGGTTGTGGTGGCGCTTTCAACTATATACAGTTTAACACTTTAGTCCAGTGAATCCACACCTATAGTTCGGCACCATTCAAAGGCTCACAAGATAAATCTGAGGAATCATGAAATGATTATTGTTGTAGAAAAGAAGAAAAAACAAATTACACAAATCTGCAATTCATTTTTTAACTTACATACAATCTTTTCTGTTCTGGTGAAATATTGAATCATGTTACTTCTTTGGGCCTGTCAAGGAGCCCAAACTAGAGACTGCTTTATCGTAAGAGGTCACAAGCCAATTCGGTTCAAAACCTCTGGTTTAATCTTTAACACTATGTTGTATTTTATAAGTGTATCATGTTTTTTTTTATGTAAAGTCCTAATCTGGAATGTAACTAATAACTATAGCTGTCAGATAAATGTAGTGAAGTAAAAGTAAAGTATTAGAGGTATAAAGTAGCACAAAATGGAAATACTCAACTAAAGCTTCTCAAAAAACTGTATTTAAGTACAGTACAGTAGAGAGTAAATGTACTTAGCTACTTTCCACAGCTGTGGGAGAGGTGTTGGGGAACGTTTAGTGATTAGCGATGAATGGCAGGGAATTCATTTTGATCTCCCAGCTGACGATCTCTCCATTGAGCTAACTAGGTCATTACAGTCTATCTTGTATTGACTTCCTTTTACACACTGACTCATCCACAGGATAAGATGAGCCCGAGTGGATGTGTCAGCCAGAACTGTGCACACAAAATTCAGACACTCTGAAAGAGAGAGAGACAGAGTGTAAAATAAACAACATTTACACCTTTTTTTTTTTTTCATCACTTTTTGTCCTTAGCTGTCAATGCTGTACATTACACGCTGCCATCTGTCTCCATCACTCTCTTCCCTTTCTCCTACAGGGCCGATATAGTGGGGAGCAGTGAAAATTTCTGCCAGGATAACCAGACCTGGCAGTATCCTCACCCCATCTGTAAAAGTAAGCGCATTGTATCTTGCACTGGCCATGTGTGTGTGAGCAGGTATGTGTGTGCATCTTTCAAGGTTAGCGGGAGAGAACGGTGGTTGATGTGTGAGTGAATGCACTGAGAGGCTGTTCACTTGGTAGGGATGTTCGTTCATTTGTTGTGTGCATTACGTTCACGTGTTCATGCAAAAGAAGAAGAAGAAGAGTGAATTAAAGAAGGAGACAGACACAAACACACAAAACCCATCAAGTATTCACCTTTCAATACCTACTGCTCCATTTCATGGTTCTTTTCTGCCATCTTGTGGTCAAACCTGGCATTGCATGGCCTTCTGTTGACAAGGAAGATAAGAGCAGAAAAAAGGACATTGTTGCAGTTTCAAATATTCCGGTTTAAAGGTGCATCATACAGGTTTCAGACCGGTAATATAGCTGGAAACAACTATTTACTATGTAAAGATGTAGTGGAGTAATCTTAACCGAGCTTCTCTTTGCTTTGTTGACAAAGCCGGGTTGGTCACATGTGCTTTTAGCTGTTAACGCCGTCCTGAACGACGGCATCATCGCAGAAGTGTAGCACCCAACCTCCGGTTCGCCCTCCGCTAACACTGTTAGCTCTGCCAGAACTTTTGCCGTATTTTGCACTGTTAGCGCTTGTTAGCTCCCAATCTCGTATAAAGCACTGTTAACTTTAAAACCGGTAAATAAGGAGCTCTCTATTAAAAGTTTTTAAGATTAGTGGATCCCCTGAATAAACAGACGGATGATCTGCTCCTCTCTTAGAAGTGTACTGCCAGCCTCCTCGAGAGGTGGAGCAGGGCTACGTGGTGGCTGTCCAGAAGACTGAATACGAAGTTGGCTTTGACGTTCACTACCTCTGTAAAAAGAACTTCCTGCTGGATGGACCCCAGAAGGTCACCTGCCTGTCGAACGGAAGCTGGAGTGCATCACCGCCATACTGCAGAGGTGAGGGATGTTTTATTGTTTTAGTATGCTTGTGACAAGCTTAAATAGGTTTTAAATAAGGATGTATTCAAGCCAATAAAAAAAGCTTCTTGCACATGCCATTACAATTTGCATTGTACACATTTACATTGTCCTTGATACTAACAAGAGTCCACATACAAGCAAGAATCAACACAGCATTTTGTATTTGGTGTTTATCATACTTTCGTACCTCGTTGATCTTTCTCACAGCTCGCTGTCTCATCCCTGCTGAGCGAAGCCGCGTGGTGATTGGCGGAGTGAAGCGCTGGTCGTTTGACGTTACAGATGCCGTGGTTCCTCACGGGGAAAATGTGACGTTCTACTGCAGACACCCTCGCAAGCAGTGCCGCTTCACCGCAACCCAGACCTGCTTTGATGGAAAGCTGCAGCCACCAGCCTGCTACCTTGGTAAACCTTGGACCTCCCACACAGGCCTTCTTACTCTGTATCTGTTTCAGCATGTCAGTCAGAATAACATTGACTCACATTATTGACCATTTTGCAACCTGCACCTTGTCTTTGTTCTTCAGAGCCCACGTGGTTGCAGTTTAAACTGTTCCCTCACCGGCTGGTCTCGGAGATTGAAGCGTGTGAGCCTAATGATGTGGAGTGAAGACCTTGACCCACTCATGACACTGTGTCACTATATGAAACGCCTCCTGACACTCAGCATCGCACAATCCCCGCAGCTTTGCTTAAACTACCCATACTGTGATTGTGGTCCGTTAGACGCTGACATATTTGTGGCTCCTTGTTGCTTGTGGCCCTTGTCCCTCTCTCCTGCATACTATCAAACAAATTATAATCTGCAAACCCCTCAAGAATTACCTTGATCCTCGTCCAGCTTGAGCCAATACATCCATGTGAGGATGTATGTATAATGCATGAATACATGCTATATCACTTATGCTTGTTCACGTAGCTTAACCCATAACGGCTTGACTCTGTGATATTTCACTGTGTGATCTTTCTTTTCCTCTGTTGAGGCTTGTAAGTTTTTAATGATGTGAAATAAAGTAATATCAAATTGGTTTGGTCCCTGTCTTACTTTAAGTCTACATGACACACAAAGTCCTACAGTGTGAGTTCAAGTCCTGCTTCCTCTCTACGTTTCTCTGGCGCTGCCTCCCGCGTCTCTGACTCTCAGGCGCGCAGAGAGCCTTCCTCCGCAGGCTGCAGGTTCAACCGTACTCATAGGCTGAACATGGCTACTGGTCGGACCCGGTAGGCTGCGACACCATAGCAACTCCCCTTGACCCCTCCCTCCCTCGGCATTCGCAGCATCACCCTTTTACACTGCACAGTCATATTTGGTCCTCCGGAAATATCCACAGCACGGGTAAGCCAGTCCCTATGCAGCGAGTGTACGGGGTGGAGTAGAGTTTAAAATACAGTTTTAAACGTATCGGAAGAGCGTCCGGCGCGTCCTCCGCCGGCTCTGACAGCAGAGCTGCAATAAATGACAGCGCGCCGGGAAAGTTTGTCCTGAGGCTGCCGGGTTGCGCTCTCGGTGTCTCGGACCCTCGACTCTAAAATGGCTGGCTGTAGGTCCGAGGAAGCTCCGGTGCAACGGGAAGGATCCGTTCCACACCGCGACTGTCTGTAAATATACACGTTTCTCTACTCTCACCGACGCGTTATCGACTGCGTTGTCCCAGGTCCGAGAGCTGTCAGGGCGCACACGCACCATAATAATATTGGCATTTCGGACCTAGGACTGTGCGTAATGGCGTCCTCCACCGTTCTCCTCGGTTTACTCCCAGACACATTTTAGAGCAGGCTTGTGTTTGCAGTATGAATATTGTTTCAAGGCGTTTTATTATTGGGGTTGCATGTGCATGATATAAGAGAGAGAGAGAGAGAGAGAGAGAGAGAGAGAGAGAGAGAGAGAGA